ACTAGAAATGTTGAGAACTAACTTATTTACACAAAACAAATAATTAACCAAGTCATCTTCTCAATGTTAGTAGACAAAGGAAATTATAATGTTAATACAATGGTGAAATGCAAATGGTATGGGAAAGACAATTAAAGAAAGATGCATTACATATAAATGACCATTTACACTATCAAAGTGAAAGAAAGAATATTCACCATATTTATTTCCTTATTCATAGTAATCTGCATTTCCCACCTAGAGTATACTTATGTAAAAACCTTTATACTCCTCATTGACAATTAAAAAAAAATCCTCATTAAGCTCGCTCTTTGCTTATTTATTAGAAAATATCATTAACAAAACAAAGTTATGATGCCTTGACATGTTTTATAGTACAGTATGTTGTGCAATAAAAATAATAATATGTTTACAAAATGAGTGTAGCCAAGATGAAGATACTAAGGTGGAAATGTGAAAAACTAGGCAAGATAAGATTGGATATAAAAAAAATTGGTGAGATGGTAGAGATATCAACTATTGAAGATAAAATGAGAATAAACTAATTAAGATAGTATGACCATGTACAACGAAGATGTGAACCAAATAGCATGAGTTACATAGTCCACATTGAGGGTGAAAAACCTAAGTGATTCGTGATTAGATCAAGAATTAATTGTACCAATTCCCAAACAATTAAAACTAACAATCTAAATCATCAAGGCACGTACGAAAAAGATTTAGATTGTTGTTTCAGAAACAATAAATAGACACAAACGATTTTTATGTGGAAAAAATCACTATTGGAGCACCTCTAATTGTGATTAAAAAACCACGGGTGAAACGCCACAAAACAGTCCACTATGAAGGAAACAAAGAATACAAAATACTCAAACAAATTACTCAAATTCTGTCAATTTGTCTTCAACGCTTTGTTTATCTTCCACCGCAACCTTCGTCTCAGGAATAATTTGATTGATGTTGATTCCATAACATCCACGTCGACTCAACGACCGTGCACAGCTTCGAACTCCTTCGAATGCTTCATGCTTGAATCTCCAGATTCCACTGAAGAAGCACACTCTTGAAGATAATCACTCAAACAACCCTTTGATGTGTATTATCCAACCATGTGAGTTTAATACTCAAGCAAGCATCAAAGGAAAACTAGCAAACTAGTCTCAAAAGAAAACCCTAGAGCCCCCAAAGCAAATCTAAAAGCATTAACCCTAAAAAATGACTTAAACACATATATATAGAAAACAGGGGCCGCGTACTCCGCTTGAGCGCAGAACTTGTCGCTCGAGCAGAGTCACTAAAATGCGTACGAATAAAACAGGTCTCCGCTCGAGCGCTCGAACTCACACTCGAGCGCAAAAACACGCCTTCTAGTATTTGTGCAGACAAGCCAAACTATTGAGAAGGTGCATCCTCCGCTTGAGCGCAAATGTTCCCGCTCAAGCTGGAAGACCAAAACTAAGGAAAAATTACAACTATAAAACTAAGTTTGTTCATGGAATTGGCAACAAGTAGGGACCTAACAGAGGGTAATAATAAGAGACGAGAACCACTGAAATTAAATGGGTTAGATAATAAAGAAAGAAGTGTTAGCTTATGAAATCTTGGCGAAACAAGATTCATCTAACTGGTCCTAAGTAGTTTAGACAATGCAAAGTTGAATTTAGTTAGTTCCAATAATAACTGCCACAAGACTGCAATATATCACCTATTTTTCACCACTTTAGATTATCGTCCTACATGAAAAGATATCATATGTTTGCATTAATTACTTAATATTATATTCAAACAAGGGGAACTAATCATAAGTATCCATGTAGGCAACAGTGCAAAATGGGTGATACAAAATTGGCGACATATAGCATTTCTCTAACTACCAACATTTTCGTTTTGATCGGCAAAAGTCACCTATTCGTTGTTAAATTAACACCTATGGGTGTTGGCCTCTCCATCCTTGCAAAGTACTAAGTGCTTGTCTCCTAATTCATCCTTGGGGAGAGTTGAACTCACGACCTCTCCCTTAGGACTAAATCCTTAGCCAAGTCATGGTGGCCAACTACCATTGATGTTCCATACACCACTTGCGAATATAACGATACCTCATGCACTAGATTTGTTATAATGTTTTACTACCTTCACTTATCTCATTCATCCATACTGGATTTCATAGTTTGTTGTTTAGAATATTGCGAGAAATCTTCTAAAATAGATTTTCTAAAAAAAAAATACCTATAACATAAAATTAACATATATTTAGGTCTTAAAAATGTGGTCATGCATCATTTTGATCCACATTAAGTTGGAAACACGTTGTAACTTCAGATATTCAAAAGTTCCAATTCAAAAACCTAATGTTGGAACCCATTAATTAAAAGTTTGTTTAGGTATTCTATATATGAAAATTATGTATGCCTACAACATGAGAATATGTATTCCTCATAACTCATCCTAAAACATAGTTTCAATTGAAAATATGTAAAACACAAATTGCATTTTGACACAGAAAACAATCAAGGTACAATTCAAATAAACAAAAGGGAAACCTTACAATTAATAAATAAATAAATAAAAGGAAAGCTTGTATGATGCTCTAGTAAATTCTATTCATCGGTTGTGTCTTGGTATTCTCCATAGTGTGGGAAAATTATATTGTGCTCCTGGAGAAAGTACATTTGGTGCCCCAATTTGATTGGGTATTGGTTGAAACAATGTGTCCTAACACTTTTATGTTTCTTCTTGGGAGACAAATGGACATATTTTCAACAAAGAATAGTGTAGAACAATACTTTAATACCACCAAATAACCCCTCCTTAATAGGAATGTAGCAATAATGGGGACTGCCAAACACAACCCTAGTAATAAAGGAAGAGCTAGTTGATTTAATTTGAATGCATTGCATGAACAAGAGGGGTCAAGTAATGACATAACAAAGACAAGTTAATGTACGAGATTTCCGATAATATGAGAATTGTGGAGTACAACAAAAAAAAAATTATCAGCAAAGGAATTTTTTTTATTAATGGAGTACAATATATACGAAGTCTTACTCTATTTTTTAAAAGATTGTTTTCGTTACTCAAACCCACACCACCAAAATGCTAACCGGAAAACCTTAGCCTTCAAATATAAGCAATCTCTCCAAAAAGGAGAGAGAAGAATTAGGAAATCAAGCTCAAAGGATTTAACCAAATCTTCATGATTTTTGAGTTGGACATGGACTACAACAGTTAACCAAGGGAAGAAATAGTTAATCTAGTTACACCAATAAGGATGGAGTTTTAACCTAGAGTTCCATGACTTCTCTCTCTCTCTCTCTAGGGAACTGTTTGGAAAGACAATTATTCAAGTGAAAGGACATGGGTCTTAACTCACTGAAAATGTCACAAGGAACTGTGATTTGGGACTGCAATGGTTGTATATCTAATTCCACCAAATGTTTCCATGGGTATGGGATTTTGACATTCTCCATTTTATAGATTAAATAAAGATTTCATTTCATTTTATGATGATGCAATAGATTATCAAAATTTAAAATCAACATCGTCTATCACATCATTGTAAGTTCAAAATCTCCCCTTTTTTACTTAAAATAAAGATTTAACTATTTGATATTTTTTTTTTACTACTATTGATCACGAAATGTAGATCTCTATTTCACCTAAAAATAGAGAGAATCTGAAAATTGAGAAGTTGAACAGCATGGACTTTGAAAAGCATAAAACTGAACAGAAGATTAGTACAATTAAAATGTAATTAATGGCTCAGTTACCATTGCCAACTGACCCATATGTCAGTGTCCCACTTTATATACACTTAGCTCCACCATATACTCAAATTGGAGTACAATTTTCTTTTGCCTACTTTTTTCACTCACAAACCTATGTATCAAGTTCAAGTCTCTTCTCACATGTACAATATTTTGAACCCCCACAAACATAAAAGCCAAAGTTTTAAACTCAATGTATGAATCCACAGTATACCCTTGAACAAATGTAAAGCAAAATTTTTTAGTGTACATTCCTCAATTATGATGTGATGTACTTCAAATTATGACGCAATGTGTTCAAAAGTATAACAGAATCATATTGAGCTGTAAATTTGTAATCATCATCTTAAATATTGATATCAAGATACAGTCATATATCAATTAATATCGAACAATATATATCAGTGAATAACATCGAAAGTTCAAAACTCTGTTACATAACAGTCAGATATTTAAAATCATGATCTTAAAACCCTGTTACATAACAGTCGATATTTAAAATCATGATCCTAACAATTCAATGTGATTGTTATTATAATTTTGACTACATCACATTGTTACAAAGATCGCAACGCGTTACGAAATGAGCACAAAAAAAGACACAAAACCCATGAATGACATTGGACCCATTTCATCAAAATCAATCAAAGCTTATTGTTGATTAAGGTAGTAAGTAGTTTCTAACAGATATCACTAATTTTCTTTCACATCAAAGTGAATGAGAAAGAAAAGGCAAGAAAGAGAGAAAGAAAGAAGAACAGCAAAACATATTGATGAGGTTGTCTTAGAAATGCCAAAAATAGTTGTAAGATTGTCAGTTCCCCAGTGAACAAAGATATACTTCTCAGAAACAAAAGTAGATCTGATTCAACGAGAGAGAGAGAGAGAGAGAGAGAGATTGTCAAAGATCATGTAACCCTTGGGCTTAAATATGCATAACTTCAGTTCAAATGCATGATATTACCCACAACATTTTTTGTAAAAATTTTTATGGGCAAAATAAAGATTATATTGATGCAAACTAGAGGTGTGAGTTCATCTATGAAATTGTTCGCTAAACCAACAACATTTAGCTAAAAACTCAATCTTTTTACAAAAATAAATAAATAAATAATGAAAAATGTTCTCACAACCTAGGAATCACCAAAAATCAACACACAAACAGAAATACATACCATCAAAAAAACAATTCAACACATAGATATATATGTATATATGTATGTATATAAATCATACCTTGAACTAGCAAATTCATAGAGCTTTCCCCTAGGAGAGAAGATGATGAGAGCAACCTCAGCATCGCAGAGAACCGAGAGCTCAAATGCCTTCTTCAGAAGCCCATTTCTCCTTTTGGAAAAGGTGACTTGCCTGCTTGTAGCGTTCTCTATCCTCCTCATCTGAGTCTTCCCTCTCACCATATCTCCACACACACAAACAAACCTTTCAAGAAATCATCAAGAAAACATAAAAAAACCCATCAAAAATCTTCAACACCCACAACATAAACAGTGAAGAACATCAAGAAAAACAATACTGTATATATATGTGTGTGTGTGTGTGTTTGTATGTAATGAAAGAAAGAGATCTTACAAAATAGGCAAAAAAAAACCCAGAAAAGGTTTTAGGGATATTAGGGGTGAGTTGAGGTGAGGACAATAGGGCAAATTATTGGAAAAAACTGATTTTAGGTCTAATCTGATGAGAACAGGACTGTACCAAGAATACCAAAAAAAAAGGGTCTATACAGAAAGGGTGTTGGACAGTAGGTGAAGTGGGGATAGAATGATTCTTCAGTCTTTTTTGGCTTACAATCAGTGGAAGGGTAAAGACTTCACAAACACATGACACACCCAACTTTCCTTTTTCATATACAGTCTCTCTCTATCTTGTTCTCTCTTTCTCACTCTCTCTCACTAACTTTTCTTAACGTCTTCAAAAAAAAATAAAAATCCCACTAGGAAAACCTCATCCATTGCTTGTTTTGGTAAACGCAACGAACAAAGCCAAAAGAGAAATAATAATGCAAAAGGAAAAATTGAGGAGAGAGAGAGAGAGTCTGGCTACTGTCCAATTGGAGGGGGTAAAAATGTTTCCAAAGTTGGGTCAAGGTTTTGTTGTTGTTGTTGTAACAAGGGAAATTTACCATTAAGGGTAGATTTTGAAAAATTATTACACATATTGATAAATAAAAAAATAATAATTTTAATTATTTGTATTTACAATATTTATTATTTTCTTAAAAACAAAATTCCTGATACTATTGAGGTATAATTTTCCGTTGTAATAATATTTGCAGTCATGTGCCTGGAACTTTCCGTATAGAAGAGAATTGTATGATTGGGAATTGATTGAAGAAGCTAATTTGATTGCAGCTTTATCCTATGCTCCTCCTTTATGTAATGAAAATGCAGATTACCTTATATGGTCTAATGATGTTGCAGCCCATACTCAGTTCTCTGTAGTTGACCTATATGCTCACAGCTCTTCCCTCCTTGGTCCTAATCTAAGAATTTGCAAACAGGTTTGGAACTCTTTGTTGCCCCCAAAAGTCTCCTTCTTTTGCTGGCTGGCCTGGAAAAATAAAGTGAAATCTTCAGAGTTCTTGCACAAGATTGGCTTACTTGATAGCAGCACTTCAACTCTCTGTCCATTTTGTAATTATGAACCTGAAACTAATATCCATGTCTTGCTTCATTGTCCCTTCTCTTGGCTGATTTGGTCCTCAGTGATTAAGGAATGGGGGCTTCAATGGTGCATTTCAAGTTCAGTAGCTGGTTTATTTCATTGGTGGATGAGTGAGAAATTTCAGAAGTATGTTAGAATAATTTGGAGAGCCCTCCCCTTAGTCATATTGTGGTCTCTTTGGAAGCATAAGAATGATTGTGTCTTTTCTAAGGCTCAGCCCAATTTTCCTGGTCTGCTGGATCTCATCAAATTTAGATCTGCCCTCTGGCTCAAAGCATCAGTCAAGGATTTCCCCTTCTCAGTGGATGATATAGTCTTCAAGTGGAAGCAGATCAGGGGCTCAGATTGATCTTCCTTGCTGCTATTTTAGTCTGTTCTACCTGCTGGAAGGCAGTCCGGCTATCAGTCTGGGTTGCTGTCTGCTGCAGTAGCCTGTTCCTCCTTGGTGCTCTGTTCTGGCTTTGTTTAGGTCTGATTCTATTGTTAATTTGCATTTTGCTGCTGTGATCACTGATGCATCAGCTCCTCCACAGTTAGGGTGCACAGTTTTGGCTGCTTAGACAGTTTGGCTGAAATTCTGTTATGATCAGATATGGGTAGACAGTTTGGCTCTCAGTTTGGCTGCTTCTATCAGTTTGGCTCCTTTCACAATCTGCTACAGATCTCTGCTGATATAGAAGGGCTGGGTTTGATCTGTGTGCGTGCAGGGCCTCCGCACAGCTCATGTCATATTGTTATTCTCAGGAGGGTTACTGATCTTCTGCTTCCTATTTGTCTGACTGATCTGTTGAATGCATTTGATCTGTTGATTTGGCTTCTTTGATCTGTTGATTTGCTGGGTGAAGCTCTGTAATTCTGAGTTGATTTCTGTTATGCCGCCTTCTTTTTGGTGAACTCTATGATCTTGGTCTGCGTCTTCAGAGGAGTGTTCTGTTTTGGATGTTTTTGCTGCTGCTTTTTACTTTTTTTCCTTTTCTCCTCTTGTTGGTTCCTCACCAACCGGAGCTTTGAGCTTCATCTAGCTTCGAGCTCCTCTTTATTGATGTTCTCCTACACATATTGATAAATAAAAAAATAATAATTTTAATTATTTGTATTTACAATATTTATTATTTTCTTAAAAACAAAATTCCTGATACTATTGAGATATAATTTTCCGTTGTAATAATATTTGCAGTCATGTACCTGTTTTTGGTACGTAATTTAATATTTTGTGAAAAAAGTAAGACAGAAATGTTATACACAAAAAAATGCTTATAATCATTATATCTCATCTAACTCATAATCATTGTTTGGCAAGTTAGTTTGTGGCTAAAATAGTTACAAAAGACAAAATAGGCTATTTTAGTCACAACAAACAAAACATCACATCTAATCCATAATCATTACACTCTTCTCTCACAAAAAAAGTCAAAAAACCAAAAAGTCCTTTCCAAACTAACTTTTTAGCCCAGGCTAAAATAATCAAAAAAAACTAAAAAGCTAAAAAACTAATCCACTTCCCAAACGGAGACTAATTAAATTTATTATTTGATTTTCTTATGTACACTATAACATATAAAAGTTTTAAAAACTAAATATTTTGGTGTTTAAAAGTGAAAATTTTGTTGCAAAAAATATTTAGAGTCAATTTCTATCGTCATGAGGATAGTCGTTAAAAGGTCGTCCTAAAAAGTCAAAAATAAGACTTTTAGCGATAAAATTTTTAAAATGTCACTAATAAATAGACTTTTAGAGACAAAATAATTGGTCTCAAAAGGATTTATTTTTTTAGACAAAAAATTTAGCTCCAAAAGAATAATAATTCATGACTAATGTCTAATTTTTGTTACTAAAAATATAATAACAACACTTTTCACAACAAAAAAATTTCATCCCTAAAAAATAATTTTGTTTCTAAATTTTAGTTTCTAAAACCTTAATTTTTTATAGTGATAATTAGGTACAAATATAGCTGTCCAACATGTATTTAGGGGTGTTTTGAAAATATGGTTAAAAGTTGTTTTTTAATTTTTTTTTTGGGGACTATTTTTGTGAGTAAAAAAAGTAAATTAAAAGTTAAAAAATGACTTTTAACTCCCTTTTCAAAATAGGTCTTAATATGGGACATGTGCCTTTATATATGGCGGTAAGAATTACGCATATTATCATTTTTTTGATAAAAATCTTCTTTCTATTTCTCTCTTTGATGCAGTTCAAATTTCATTTGTATTTGATTTAGTGGGAAAAAATACTGGTTAAATTTTGATATTCTAGATATTGTAATAAAAAAAAATGACTTTATAGTCTGTCATTTTAACTATTCAAAATTAGAGATACTCTTGAGAAATTAAAATTGTTAAAGGTGCTTTGATCAAAATGAGTCTTTCAAGAGTATATTTAGCCAATTTTAATTAAAAAAAGGTACAGCCTAATTTTTAAAATAAAATAATAATAATAAAAGTTTGAGTGGTATTATGTACGGACTTTTGGAAGCACCAAAACTTAACTCAACCCTTCAAGTTGACAAAGAGTCCAATAAAAATAAATAAATTACACGAATTCAACTTTCCTTCCAATTCAAATATATATATATATATATATATATATTTTTATTAGTGAAAAAAAATCTTTATAGATGAAAAAATATCTCATTACATTAAAAAAGAAATAAGGATGGGTGCAAAAAGTATCATAGCGAGACATACCAATCCCAATTAGGTTGGCACCAATATGTTTGCCCGATCCCTTGCTAGCACATCATCAAGAGTTGGTGAGATGCCAACCAAAGCGCAAAACAAACAAACAGTTGGCAAAAACACCACACCACTAAACTAACCTCATATTACAAAACCAAGACACAAACAATAATAAAGTATGACAAAACACCACCAAAAACATCACAACAACATAGCACCAAAAACAACACTGTAGCAGCAACCATTAGTAGCAGCATGCATCCACCTGACAGAGCAGAATTACCAGACAAACCAGCAACAAAGAAGAATCACCAGAAAAACCAGTAACTCATTGTTCACCTCAATCAATGATTGACCAGTAGCACAAACTCTTCCAATCAACATATCCCTCCAACAACCCAACAACATGAACCCTACAGTAGCAGCAACCCCTCATCACCAACACCAAACCAAACCAGTGAGATACCCACAGCCGCAAATACACCTCTGCACAATATAGCAGCAAGTCACCAACCTTCAAGAAACCACCCATACAATCATGCTAATGAAATCAACAACTTCTGATAGCAGTTTCTATGTTCCCTCTTCTCCTAAGTTTTCTGTTAATACTTTTCCACCTCTTCAAAACTTCTTCAACTTAGTCTTCAGATCAATCACTAAAACTTTTCCCCACTTTGTTATATTCAGCAAATGATTCCAAGAATAAAGGAAACAGGGTCATCTTTGCAACTTTAGCCTTAACATACTTGCCTACTGCCATTACATAGACAAAATCTAATATGCCTCAGGTTGAAAATGAAATCATTGGCAGAGAACTGATGATCCTTGAACACATCTTTGAACCAAAGAGCAGTCTTGACTTTTATTAGTTCACAGACTCCTTCTTTACTTTGAGCAACATCCTTAAAAGTACAATCATTTCTATGCTTCCACAATGCCCACAACACAATAATAGGTAAAGGTTTCCATATCAACATTTCCTTTTTGTTGAGTCTTACCCTATCCCACCAGTTTAGAAGTGACTCCACCGAGCCTGGTAGTACACCTTGCACCTCCCATCACTTTAAAATTTATGTCCAAACTCTCCATGCCACTGGGCAATGCAATGACACATGGTTAAGTGACTCTTCCTCTAATTTGCAAAAAATGCATAGAGCCGAAGTGTTATCAGCAAGAACACCAATACGTAGAAGGAAATCTGTAGTCTTCAATCTGCCTTTCCAAGCAAGCCAACCAACCAAAGAATTGAACTCTAGGGGGAATATACTTCACCCACACCAACTTACTTGTTGGACATTTATTACCATAACCAGCTACTAGATTTTTGTACAGAGAGGAGACTGAAAAACTACTAGATTTTGAGGCAACCCATACTAGTGCATCCTTTACATCTGACCTTGTTGAAGGGGCTGTCTCTAATAGAGTTAGCAATCTAGAAACCTCAACCATTTCCCAGTCATAAAGCTCCCTTCTAAACTGGAACACCCACTGACCTGCATTCACCTTCCTTACCATCATTGAATTTAAAGATTCTTCCTTATTAATAGCCAATCTATGAAGGAGTGGGAATTCGTCCTTAAGACACAAATTTGCACACCATTTGTCACACCAGAACTTCACTCTATGACCATTACCAACTTTTATCTTACAGTTAGCCAAGAAAAACCTCACCAAACTGCTATTTTGATTACAGCCATCTACAATGTCCTTCCAAATTTGTAAACTACTACTACTGGAATTGATTTTAGGCATCCAATTACCCTCATCAACCTTATACTTACTGCAGATTACTTTTCTCCGCAATGCATCAGACTTAGTACCAAACGTCCACCACCATTTTAATAGGAGACAATTGTTAACCTCCAACACTCTCCTATCCCCCAGACCCCCTTGCTCCACTGGTTTTGATACTTCCTTCCAATGAACTAGATGTAATTTCTTTCTCAACTCAGACCCACCCCAGAGGAATGCTACCTGAATTTTTTCAAACTCTCTTGCTATCCCTTTTGGCATCTTATACAAAGACAAATAATACAAAGGTATGGAAGACATTACAGATTTTATTAAGGTAAGGCTTCCAGCAAATGAGACCAATCTCCTCTTCTAGCCTACTAATTTGCTTCTAACTTTATCCAAAACAGGTCTCCATGTTGATTTCCTACTCAGATTAGCCCCTAGAGGTGAAATGCAAGCTTTTTACCTTACAATTAAGCACCGAGGCATATTCATTCATTAACTCATCTTGCACACCCACTCCACATACTATACTTTTATGATAATTGATCTTCAATCCTGAAAGAACTTCAAAACACCTCAATATCCTTTTCAAGTTTCTTACTTCAACTAAATCAGGTTTACAAAATAATATTAAGTCATCTGCAAATTGTAAGTGAGTTAGACCCACACTACCTGAACCAATCTTCACCCCTTTTATTATTTCCAATTCAAGAGCTCTAGACAACAATAAACTTAAACCCTCTGCTGCTATATTGAACAGAAAATGAGACAACGGGTCCCCTTGTCTAAGACCTCTTTGTGGACTAAATTCTCCAGTTGGAGAACCATTGATAAGCACAAAAATTCTAGCTGCAGTAATACATTCCTTGATCCATTCAACCCACTTATCACCAAAACCAAAATTTGACAACATGGAAAATAAGAACTCCCAATT